TGCAGAAATCACAAGCATTCCTATACACCAATAACAGACTTAAAGAGAGCCAAATCAAGAATAAAGTGTCATTCACAATTGTTACAAAGAGAACAAAATACCTAGGAATAGAGCTCACAAAGAATGTAAAGGACCTCTTCAAGAAGAACTACAAATCACTGCTCACAGAAATAAGAGAAGACACAAACAGATGGAGAAGCATTCCATGCTCATGGTTAGGAAGAAACAGTATTGTGAAAATGGCCATACTGCCCAAAGTAATTTATACATTCAATGCTATCCCCATCAAGCTACCTAAGACCCTCTTCACAGAACTGGAAAAAAAATCACCTTAAACTTCATATGGAACCAAAATAGAGCCCACATAGCCAAGTCAATTCTAAGCAAAAAGAACAAAACTGGAGGCATCACACTACCTGGATTCAAACTATACTTCAAGGCTACAGTAATAAAAACAGCATGACACTGGTACCAAAACAGAGATAGAGACCAATGGAAAAAAACAGAGGCCTTGGAGGCAATACCACATGTCTACGATCATCTGCTCTTTGACAAACCTTACAAAAACAAGCAATGGGGAAAGATTCCCTGTCTAATAAATGATGTTGGGAAAATCGGCTTGCAATGTGCAGAAAGCAGAAACTGGACCTCTTCCTGACACCTTACACTAAAAGTAACTCCAGATGGATTAAAGACTTAAACATAATACTTAACACCATAAAAAAATCCTAGAAGAAAACCTAGGCAAAACCATTCAGGACATAGGTATACACAAGGACTTCAAGACTAAAACACCAAAAGCATTAGTAACAAAAGCCAATATAGACAAACAGGATCTAATTAAACTCCAGAGTTTCTGCACAGCAAAAGAAACAATCATTAGAGTGAACTGGCAACCAACAGAATGGGAAATAATTTTTGCAATCTACCCATCTGACAAAGGGCTAGTGTCTAGAATCTACAAAGAACTAAAACAGATTTACAAGAAAAAAGAAAAAAAAAATTCAAAAGTGGGCAAAGGATATGAAGAGACACTTTTCAAAAGAAGGCATTTATGCATCCAACAAACATATGAAAAAATACTCATCATCACTGGTCATTAGAAAAATGCAAATCAAAACCACATTGAGATACCATCTCCTGCCAGTTAGAATGTCGGTCATTAAAAATCTGGAGACAACAGATGCTGCAGAGGATGTGGAGAAATAGGAACACTTTTACACTGTTGGTGGGAGTGTAAATTAGTTCAACCATTGTGGAAGACAGTGTGGCAATTTCTCAAGGACCTAGAAATACAAATTCCATTTGACCCAGCAATCCCATTACTGGGTATATATCCAAAGGATTATAAATCATTCTACTATGAAGACACATGCACATGTATGTTCACTGCAGCAATGTTTACAATAGCAAAGACCTGGAACCAACCCAAATGTCCATCGATGATAGACTGGTCAAGGAAAATGTGGCACAAATACACCATGGAATACTATGCAGCCATAAAAACGATGAGCTCATGTCCTTTGTAGGGACATGGATGAATCTGGAAACCATCATTCTCAGCAAACTGACACAAGAACAGAAAATCAAACACTGCATGTTCTTACTCATAGGTGGGTTTTGAATGAGAACACATGGACACAGGCAGGGGAGCATCACACAGTGGGGTTTGTTCGGGGGGGATTAGGGGAGGGACAGAGGTGGGTAGGGAGTTGGGGAGGGATAACATGGGGAGAAATGCCAGATACAGGTGATGGAGATCGAGGCAGTAAACTACATTGTCATGTATGTGCCTATGCAAGAATCCTGCATGTTCTGCACATGTACTCCAGAACCTAAAGTGCAATAAAATATTTTTTTAAAAAAATTTAGACATTAATTCAATTCTGTGTCACATAGTAACTCAACAGCTAAACAATTCATTTTCTGGATATAGCTCTTCAAAAACAGATTACAAAATTGGAAGGCAAGGTCTCCAGAAGATCACAAATAAAATTTAATGTTTCATGCAAACAAGACAATCCAAACATTGATTTTAGTCATAAGCACTCACAAGTCTAAAATTTGTGGGGTCAATGTTATGTTTTATTAAGATTGGGCTTCAGTGAAAATAACTGAAAACATGCTGAGATGAAGCCATGCCAATTAGGGAATGGAATTAAGTGATACTATTAATATACACCATTACAAGTGATTACTATTTCCACACTTCTTATATAACATTCCATCCAACATAACTGATTCTTTGGTTTTTAGTATGTTTGTATTTTATTCCAGTCACTTTTCTGCACAATTTCAACTAAATTCATGAGTTCTGAGGATGTTTAATTGCTAAGCACAAATTGCCAAATTTGTTGTTTGTGAAGACTATTGAACATTTTATTTCATACCCCACTTAGCACTTTCTACAGATAACTGTCTAACTCTCTAAGATATCTGCATATTTAAAAGACCTTTAAAAACACTTTTGTCCCTTAATGACCTAGTAGGACAGATACCCATTGGTTCCCATGATGCATCAGCCAGTATTCTAGTAATATTAACACATATCAAAATGGAGGCATGCATTTTATTCAATACATTAAAGCACTGAAGAAAGAAACAAAGAAATGCAAGAGCAAAGAGAATTTTGTAGAGCAACATTTGAATAGCAGCCTATTTATGTTTGAGATACACATTTTCTGTTGTTTAATGAAGTATTATGTATAATATATACACAAAATGAGTGCATATTGTGTTTTCATATGTTATTTATTTTTTGCTTCCCCAAATCATAAACTATGGCAGTCCAACACTAGTAAAGTATTGCTCTCAGTGACCTGATTTATCCATCTAAGTGCATACACATATGTGTGCTTACTCATACAACATATATAAACATTCACATTCAGACACATGAACAAACAAAATTGATGTTTGTTAACCAACTGTATGCATAAAAAGTGTAAAGATTTTTTTAAAAATTTTTATCCAGGATGTTTATAACATGGCAATATTCTATTAGGTAACTGTAACATTATTTATAAATAAATGTCTGGCTTTGTAAGGCATCATTAATGGATGAATATCATATGTTTCTGTGCATGTGTCTGTATGCATTCATGCCCGTGTGACATGTGCATGCATGTGTGTTTGTACAATCCTAAATAAGACAGTTGAAACAGTTTGTATTCCTGTTTCTTTCCTCTAGAGATAGGTGTATTTTAAAGTGAGAATTACATTTATTTTATATTTGAAGCAAAAATCGTTACTGGGAAAATAGAATAAAATGTGAAATATCACCATCAAATACTAACAAGCTTTTCAACTAATTCTAAGCTCTTCTAATGGAATAATAATGTGTAATCATAAACATGCATATTTTTGTGCCACCACTTAGATTACTAAATTAATAAGCATGTTTTCCTAAATATTAAGTGATACCTTGGAACTAACAGAACCTGCAGATCTTATACTCATTTTAAGTTATATAAAGTTATACATATTTAATTATACCCCAATTTCTATTTTTCACTTTAACTACATATTAGAATCTATTCTATAATTACAATGCATATAAGGATGTGTACACATATATAATCATGTATATATTCTTCATGTCTCCCTCTCTATATATGTTCTACTTTGTTTTATTTTTAAGGTATAAGAAAGAAAGAAAGAGTTAAGCAAGTATGTCTGAGATCCATTCATGCCAACGTATTTCCATGTTGGAGCAGTTCAAGAAAAGAAAGAAGGCAAGTGACCCAATCAAAGCCTCTTGTAAACATGATAATGGCAAAACTCTTGGTAAACAATCTAGTGGTATTAGATAGAGAGAAAGTGCTTATCTATAACATCTTTTTAGTTCAACGTGCCTCACATAACACATTGTTAAACAAATCTATGATCTGTAGACTTATCAAACAAGGTTCTCTGAAAAAAATGGGTTATATGTTATATAATTATAGAAGTATAGAGAGGTATTTACAATAAAAATGGCTCCCTTCCACATTAGTTATGTGGCTGTGTGGCCATTTATTTACAGAGGCCACATGCTGATCTGATTCAGAGTGCATTTCATACTTAGAAAGGACAGAGGGCACTGCTGGAACATCCTGGATCTCTATTTTGCTTCATAAATACGTACATCCTTAAAATTTAAAAGAAACTTGAGATTTGTTTGTTACTGAACAATTGCCTAAACTAAAAATGGGTTTTACTGCAACAAACTGATTTTCAATGGGGACATGTACCTTTTATGGTTTTTGGATACGCTGCTGCAGCACATCCTATAATACATTATTAAGCAGCCTTCATTACCATTTTAGCCTGATATGACATGATATAATTGATGTGATATAACATCATATAATATGATTGATATAATATGATTGTTTGGGCCAGTAAAAAATAGGAGAGCAGAATTTCTAGTTTTTTCCTGAAAAGGTATTTATGTCTTTGGCATTATCCTGGGTTTTTTGTTTGTTTTTTAACACAACACAATATTTGAAGGCTGAAAATTTTACTTATTGAAAATATTGCCAGCTCAAGAAATAGAAATCCCCCAATATAATACAATTTTATATATATGTATGTATATATACCTGACAATTTATGTGACAAGCAAAATTAATGTAGACAATTTTCAAAGAACCATTTACCTTTTCAGCAAATAATAAAAATTAATATATAAGCAGAGCAAATAATATATTTGAAAATCTCATTCGATGTATGTAATATCTCATATATGTTTTAAACAGATTATTTAAGTGTTACAGAAATATTGAATGATAAGTAACATTTTCTTGGATGGATATAAATAACAGATAATCAACATATCAGAGAAAGCAGTTAATTTATCTTCAATTATTTCATTACTTATTTTAGAGAAAATGAGGATATGTTAAAATCAGGTTACAATAATATCATCTGACAGAAAAGAGCATATAGAAATAAAAATCTTTGTTTTTTAATTTACTGTAGCAAACACTTGCATGCAAGTTACGTGTAAACACACTAACCTGTTTTAGGATCCACAGAGAAGTATGGTTGTCCCTGGAGAATGCTGTAAACCACCCGAGCGCTGTTTCCATAGGTAGGGTCGTCTGCATCAGTAGCTGTCACCTGTAGAACAGAGGTACCTGTGCATTCAGGAAAACAAATTTTAGTGTGTGATGGCATTTAGCATATGATTAATTTGAACACAGAAAATGGATATGCTGAAATAGCTATGGAGATCAGTAAAGACTGTGCCTTAGTAAATTAAATTAATGTATAAAACATATTATTTGTTTTCTTTCCCTGCTATCAACTGTAATGAAAGAGAGTCTAAAATATAATATTGGTCTCAAAGCTTTTAACATGGCTCTTTATGTGCTGGTAACATCCTGAATGTTCTCTTTTTGATCTTCATTTTAAGAAGCAGTAAAACATAACCGAAGTTTGGTTGGCTTGTCACTCATAAATCAAATTGGTACTAACTGTACAGTTAAATCAATGGTATGATAAAGCTTTATATTGCATGTTTCATGACTGTTCTGAAAACTGGAGGTGAAATTATTTGTGATTAAGTTGGGAAGGTGAGTGTGTTGACATTAAATTATCAATGACATCATAACATTCCAATCAAGCCATTGTCTGTCTTATACACTCTTTTTACTTATTACCTGGATAATTAATGAGTCACATAACTGGTCTCTTTTTTTGTTTGCTTGCTTTTTTGTTTGTTTGTTTTTGACACACGAGACAGAGTCTTGCTCTGTCATTCAGGCTGGAGTGCAGTGGTGCAATTTTGGCTCACTGCAACCTCCACATCCTGGGTTCAACCAATTCTCCTGCCTCAGCTTCCTGAGTAGCTGGGACTCCAGGCACCCTCCACGATGCCCAGGTAATTTTTATTTTTATTTTTATTTTTAGTAGAGACAGGGTTTCGCCATGTTGGCCAGGTTGGTCTTGAACTCCTGATCTCCGGTGATCTGACCCAAAGTGCTGGAAATACAGGACCGAGCCACTGTGCCCAGCCAACTGGTCTTCTAAATTCAAATCTCATTCCTTTAATGTCTTGTACACAATGCCAACAGTGCACTGTATTTAAAAAAATGAATAGTAAATTAATTTATAACATTTAAAATAGTATATTTTGAGGTAATAAAAGTATTTAATCTATTATGCTCATGTCTTTATGCTTACTTTTTAAAATCCAATTTGCTTAATTAGAAACACCTATATAATGTTTCAATTATACCTAAATGAAAACTTAATCTAAGTGTAACATGAAAATCATATATTAAGGGATATACAACTTCATTGCAGAATTAGAGGGTAAGAATACTCATCTAAGAATTCACATCTATTCATAAAATGACATGAAGAATTATCTAATAGTGCATACTCAATATTTTATTCCACATCACTAGAAAAATTCTACCTACTAATTTGGGTTATCTATCAAGTAAAAATATTTTTACAATCAAATGATCTTGTGTGAAATTTTGTATTCATTTTCATATTTGAATATGGAAGCACTGACAATATTCAGTTTTTTTTATTTTAGTAATTATGTCAATGATTCAGGATCTAATGTCTGTTCAACTAGAAAATTTGTACTTCTAAGCCAGGCTTAGTGGCTCATGCCTGTAATCCTAGCACTTTGGAAGGCCGTGGTGGGAGGATCACCTGAGGTCAGGAGTTCAAGACCAACCTGGCCAATATGTGAAACCCCATCTCTACTAAAAATACAAAAATTAGCTGGGCATGGTGGCATATGCCTGTAATTCCAGCTACTTGGGAGGCTGAGGAAGGAGAATTGCTTGAACCCAAGAGTCAGAGGTTGCAGTGAGCTGAGATCCATGCCATTGCACTCCAGCCTGGGCAACAAGAGTAAATGTCTGTCTCAGAAAAAAAAGAAAAAATGTGTACTTCTATGTTGAACTTTAGATAGAACTTCAGGGAAAGCTTGTTTTGTGTCTTCAAGGGATCATAGAAAATAGAATTAATATGCCAAGTTTGCTTATCAATCCTTATTAGCAAATCATAAATATGTATTCTACTTTTAATATATTAAGGATTCCGGCCACTAAATAGTATTTTTACATGGAGACTTAAGAAGAAATATGATTTGCAATTATCCATCCTCAGAGGATGAGAGCTGTGTTGTCTAAAAGAGATTTCAAATTGTAAACCAATAAAATAGTATGAGGGCACCAACTGCTGTTTAGAATGCTGAGAAACTGGGTCACTCATATACTGCAAGAGAAATGTTATTGTTTGGCAATTCCTTACAAAACTAAACACACATTTACCCAATAAATTGAATAAGGGCATTTTATTATTTTTTTGTTATTTTATTTTATTATTATTTTTTGAGATGGAGTTTCATTCTTGTTTCCCAGGCTGGAGTGCAATGATGCGATCTTGGCTCACTGCAACATCTGCCTACTGGGTTCAAGTGATTCTCCTGCCTCAGCCTCCCAAGTAGCTGCGATTATAGGCATACACCCTCATGCCCAGCTAGTTTGTTTGTATTTTTACTAAAGAAGAGTTTTCTCAATGTTGGCCAGGCTGTGAACTCCTGATCTCAGGTGATCTGCTCTCCTCGGCCTCCCAAAGTACTGGGACTACAGGCATGAGCCACCGTGCCCAGCCCTAGCATTTTAACAAATAAAAAAAAAACCTATGTTCACAGAAAAATCTGCTTACAAATTCATGGTGCAATTTTTCATGATAGCCCCAAACTGGAAACCATCCTGATGTACTTCCATGAGAGAAATGTTAAACAAACTAGTACATTCAAAGTATGAAATATTATTCAACAATAAAAATGAATAGACTATGGATACAAGCAACAACTTGTATGAATCTTCAGGGAATCAACTAAATGAAAATTAATCCCAAAAGGTTATATACTATGATTCAATTTATATAGCATTTCTGAAATAAAAATTTTAGAAATAAATAACAAGTTATAATATTCTGGAGATTTGGGTAGAGGGACTAGAGCAAGGAAGTTTGGTTATAGAAGGGAAGCAGAAGGGATCCTTATGATATTGTAGCTGTTCAATATTTTTATTATGGTAATTGATACATAAATAGATACAGTTGATATAATTCTGTAGAACTGAGCACACACATACACACAGACACATGCACACACACAAATTTATATAAGTAAATCTAGGGAAACCTAATGACAATCAGTATATTGTATCATTTCAATAACCTGGTTATGGCACTGTGTTATAGTCTGCATGATCTTATCATTGTGGAAAAAAAAAATATTTGCAAAATGTTACCATTGCATGTGAATCTACCATTGTGACAAATGTTGTTTCAGCCAACTAGACTACAGCTTTCTGTTATGTGAGCTCAAATAAACTAAGACAATCAATCAATAAACAAAAAGTCATTAAATAAACTAATCAAGGTATGTCTTATGGGTTAAATCATATCCTCCAAAACTGATATGTTGAAGTTCTAATCCCCAGTACCTCAGAATGCGACCTTCTTTAGAAATAGTATTGTTTTAAGTGGAATTAGTTAAGAGAAGATCATGCTGGAGTAGTGTGGGCCCCTCATCTAAACTGACTGGGATCCTTATAAAAATGAAAAATGAGGAGAAAGGTATAAATTCACAAGGATAACTTTAGATGAAGATGAATGCAAATATAAGGGCGATGTAGCTGCAAGCTAAAGAATGCTAAGGACTGTCAGCAAACCACTAGATGCTGTGAGAATGCTGTGTAACAAGTCCCTTCTCAGTTTGTTCAGAGAGAACCAACTGTGACATCTTGTTCTCAGACTTCTAGCTTCCAGACTATAAGATAATACATTTCTGTTGCGTCAGACACCCAGTCTGGGGCACTGTGTGTAGGGCAACTCTAGCAAATGAATATGGTGTGTTAGAGTTTTAGTGGGAAAAACTGACCTTTATTCTCATAATTTATAGTTGCTTTTTAATCTGAGCAAAACTATGAAGTCACAAGGCAAGAAAATAGTATGTGTAATTGTGTATTATATTTGAAATCAGATACATCATAAGAGAGAGAGAATAAAAAGTGATTACAAAGGGATTAGAGTAAATAAACATAAATATTTGATATTTTTGAACATCAGGCATTTCTAATGATCTGCCTGGTGACATTTTTAAAGTTAGTTAATGCATTATATTGGGTACATAAGAATGTTTTCAAGATGGCTTTTCTACAATAAAACTTAAGTCTTACTTTCTTTAGGGATTGCCCTGTGTCATTCTTATTCTTTTCACTTGTTTTTTGGTACTACTGCTTTATAAATATCACACATTTTGTACAGTTTGCATATCAATGAGAAGCAGAACGCATAGACTTCCTGGAAAGTTTCTAAGGACTAATTTGAAATATTTAATAAGGCATTTTTATACCAAGCAAATACTCTCAGAGATTACAAATTGTTATGCCTGACTTGTCAAGGCTCACAGCTCTGTTAAAATCTCAAGAGATTCAATGTTAAATAAGAACTTTGAGTAAAAATAAGCTGAAGATTTATGAAGGCTGAGGGCACCTCTCTGTAGGAATCTCTCAGGGTTTAATTCTCAGAAGATTTTCCCAGGAAATATTAAAAAGCAACAGTTATCAAGATACAACTTAAATTTCACTTCATACAGGAGAACTGTAATTTCACCATCAGATCAATAACACTGCATTCTAGTCACTGTGTAATTTGATAAAGTTTTGAGTATTAACTCAAGTCATTGGATTAAAAAAATTCTGCAAGGAGACATATGAACTATCTGAGCTGACTACCAAAACAAAAATCAGTATTTTGTGTATTAACTATAAAACCATAGCAATTTTTATTTTCTGGGTACTTTCAATAAAAGTTTCCTATTTATGGAACTACCTAATGTGAAGTTTCACATTCACATGTAAAATTTATATTCTGCTCCATAAATGGAAAAAAATAATAATCAGGGAAATAATATATATTAAGTGCCAATGATATGGAAGCCCTCTGTTGTAAGCCATTTAATTTAATAAAATAATTAAATTAACATTAATCTATTGAGAAAATGACATTTAATACTGTTTTACCCACAGATAAGTTGACGTTCAGAAAGGTAATATAATTGACAATTGGAGAAGGCAGAATTCAAGTTCAGCCCCAT